GAGAAGGCACGAACTGGTCCGCGACAGCAGCACTTCGCTGCAGTCCAGCAGGACAGTGGAGATAACCCAGCAGCCACTCCAGCATCAAGTGACGGGGATCGGGTGGCTGTTGTCCAGCCGCGAAGCACCAACAAGTCCCGCAACAATGGGAAGGCGAAATCCGCATCGCAGGCCGGAAATGGACAGCCAGGACAGTTTCCATGGGTCAAGTTTGGCTTGACCAAGGCGGAGTACAAGGTCCGCGGCCGCTACGGCAACTGCTATTGGTGCAACAGCACCAAGCACAAGACCTCCCTGTGCCAAGATCAGGGCAAGGAGGATGTGCGACCCTGCCTAAGCTCGGGATACTGAGCTTCGCGGAAGGTGAGGCGACTACACCTTCCACTCCGCCAGATTCGGCCGCCTTGCTAGCAGCCTCCTGCACATCTGGGGAGAACGCGAATGTTGCAAGTTCTCGTTACAATTACGAGGACTATGTTGTCTACTTGGTTCCACCGCTGGACCAGCCGCTCCACGTGCAACAGTCCACCGCATGCACAGTTTCATCACCATCGGCAACCGATTTGGCACCTTCGCCTCAATCTATCGCCAGGGATTCGACGTCATGGTCAAGACTTGAAGTGCTCGACCCTCTGACGTTCACGGACTTCCAGTGGATGCCCGTTCCCTCGACCGGACGATTGTCGAAACCGCATTGCAATGTGCTCATGGCACAATTGCGGGACTACTTGCACACTGCAGTACTAGCTCCGTTGATGGACGACGGAGTAGAGGTTGTCAACCTTCACGATTACATCGCGAAGATTGACCACGAGTTCAAGACGCAATGGTACGACGACATCGACGCACCATTGCTATACATACGCATTCAGATCGGTGAGGCGACCAGCAGTGCCTTGATCGATTGCGGGGCATCTCGCAACTACATTAGCCAGGACTTCATGGTGCGCGTCGGCCTTGGCCCACGTGTCCGGAGGAAGTCCCAGCCTACGCAAGTCACGTTGGCAGACGGTCATACGCACAAGTCAATCGACCGATGCATTGACGCCGTCCCCGTGTACTTTGCCCCTCGCGCAAGTGAGGCGGTGTCCTTCGACATTCTGGACACCAAATTCGACATGATCTTGGGCATGTCATGGCTGCGAAGCGAGGATCACCCGGTGAACTTCTTCCACCGCACCGTTCACATTCGTGATCGGAACGGGGTACTAGTTCCATGCACGGTGCCTCTTCCTCATCCTTCGATCAGCTGCCACGTGGCATCCGCCGCAAGCATGCGAGCTTCCATCATCAGAGACGACATCGAGGAGATGGGGGTTTGTTTTCTCCACGCCATCCCGCCCCATGACGCTTCATCGACGGACTCACCTTCGGATCCACGCATCACCGAGCTTCTCGACGCTTACAGCGACGTGTTCGAAGGCCCACACGGAGTAGTACCGGATCGACCCATCCGCCACGAGATCATCCTCGAGGACGGGGCCGTACCTCCGCGCGGTTGCATCTACCGAATGAGCGAGGCTGGATTCGGCCTAGCTAATCTCCATACGGTGCTCCTGTTCTCTTCGTCCGGAAGAAGAACAAGGACCTGCGGTTGTGCATCAATTAACGCAAGCTCAATGCGCAGACGATCAGGAACGCCGTCCCTCTCCCACACATCGATGACCTTCTCGAACGATTGGGCGACGCCCAACTCTTCTCTAAGTTGGATCTCAAGTCAGGGTACCACCAACTCGAGATTCACAAGGAGGATCGCTACAAGACCGCGTTCAAGACACGGTATGGGCATTTCGAATGGCTGGTCATGCCATTTGGCCTTACGAAAGCCCCAACCACTTTCCAAGCGGCTATGACRACGGAGTYCCGACACATGCTGGATCGTTTCGTACTTATCTACCTCGAYGAYATTCTGGTYTACAGCCGGAGTCTGGACRAGCATGTGGARCACCTGCGCACCGTTTTGGAGYGGCTACGACAGRCCAAGTACAAAGCAARCCGYGACAAGTGCGAGTTCGCACAGCAGGAGCGGGAGTACTTGGGACACTATGTGACGCCGCAAGGCATCCGTCCGCTTGCGGACAAGATCGAGGCCCTACGAGTATGGCCCGAGCCCACCAACACCACGTGCGTTCGTTCATTCATGGGATTGGCGGGCTACTATCAGCGATTCATCACCGGATACTCCAGGATTGCTGCACCTATGACGAGGTTACAGTTGCCTAAGGTGCCATTCGTATTCGATGACGACGCACGCCGTTCATTCCAAGCACTTAAGACGACTATGCTCATGGCACCCGTCCTTAGCATCTATGACCCCACCCTGCCGACGCGAGTGACTACGGACGCTTCCGGCTATGGCATTAGGGCAGTCTTGGAACAACACGACGGCGACGACTGGCACCCTATGGAGTATTTCAGCCACAAAGTGTCTCCCATCAACTCGCTTGATGATGCAAGGAAGAAGGAGCTGCTCGCATTCGTGATGGCTCTCAAGCGCTAGCGGCACTTCCTCCTTGGGCGTCGTAGGTTCACATGGGTCACAGACAACAATCCATTGACCTACTACAAGACGCAGGACACGGTGAGCAGCACGTCCCCGTCCTCTTTAATCGCGCAGCAGATACACTCTCGCGAAGACCTGATCTTTGCGGTATGACTCATCATGCCTTCGCATTCGACGAGGAGCTTCAGCGACACTTCATCCGGGCATATCATTCTGATCCAGACTTCCGCACGCTCTATGCACAACTATCTTCGGATCACCCGCCGGCCAGCCATTACCGCATTGCCGACGGGTACTTGCTCCTCCACTCGAGAGGCAAGGACTTACTATGTGCCCCACGCGACCGTCGTTTTCGGACTCGCCTCCTCAGCGAGTATCACGATTCATGACTCGCCGGCCATTTTGGAGTCATTGCACAGCTTCGACAGCGATTCCGATGGCCCGACCTCATTACCGATGTCACTCGGTATTGCGACTCTTGCGAAGTTTGCCGACGCAGCAAGCCCCGCAACCGCAATCCCTACG